AAAATTAGTAAATTCGCGTTTTAGAAATAAATAGCAGCGTAACAGTGTACCTAATACTGTAATTCACAAACTGTTGATATTGATTTAATAATAAACTCCGTACTATATGGTGAATAAGTGTGTGTAATACAATGTGACTAAGCAAGTGAAAGGACACAAGATTTACAGTGTTAAAACACTATTTGACATAATTGAACTACGCGCGCACGCGCAACAATCAGCATAACAGTGTTACTGTGTTAAAATAATCAGTGATGTGGAAAAAACACAAAAAAAGGTTTAAGTAATCAATCCTTTGTTCTGAACAAACTAATTTGACCTTTGGACTTTTAATAGCTTATAGCTGCATACGGTTGCCTCTTTTCAATCGAATGTCAATTGACTTGATAGCCTAGGTGTGTGTAATGCGATTGGTAATTAACGGCGCTCGAGTTCGATCCTGACCTCTCGCACAAATCACTTTTTGTACCATATTTTAAATTTATTTCCAAGACTTAAGACTTATTAATAATAAACCAAAACCACCAACGAAATGAATTTCTTCGAAAATATTACCCTCCGAAAAAAAAGGAACAGTTCAATGACAGAAACGGTCACAGTGACTGAGTCCAATGACTCGACGCTAGATGGCAGCACGAACAGTATGCCGAACATATCTGATGATGACGGCGAAATAAAAAGCCTACGACAAGAAATATTAACATTGCGTTCAGAGCTAAACTCGGCACACCAGGAAATTAATAATCTTTCATTAGAAAATACAGAGTTAAAAAATACTATTAAAAACTTGTCAAGTAAACATGAAATTCTGACTAAAGCGACTAAACAACTTTCAAGTGACTTATGTACTCGAACTCCTATCAACAGCTCCAAATCAACAACGCCGCATCGTCCGACCCATAACAAAAATAAACGAAAATCGGCACAACCAGCAAGTACCCCTTCAGCGCACCAAAACACCAACACAGTACATGGGACGGCATTGTTTTCGCACACACTGCAACAAAGTACTAAACAAACTATTAACATACCCAAAGATGACAAACCAAAACTAAGTATCATAAGTAGCAATAGAAGGAACAAAGTTCTAACAATAGCTGAAGAGGCGTTCGCAGACTACCAAATATGCCACTATTTAAAACCAAATTGTGGAGTAAGAGAACTCATCAGCGGCATTGATACAAAACTTCAAGAACACACAGAACACGACTACTGTGTTATTTTGGTTGGCGAAGAAGACTTCCGACGAACTTGTAACTATGTTGACATAATAATTGACATCCGCGAAAAATTGACACAAATACAACACACTAATATTATCCTCTGTCTACCTACCTATAAAATCAATGACTGTTCTATTATGCACAATGGCAGGATAGAAACTTTCTGTAATCTCCTTTATCTAGACATGTGTCCATATAACTATGACTATGTAAAAGTAATTGACTCTAATTTGGATTTAACTTATGACTATAGAATGTTTTCAAAGATTAATGGTTCTCTCAATAATAATGGCATGACAAATATATTCAAAAATATAAAAATGTACATAAATCTGGAACATAAATATTATAACAATGATAGTATAGTAGCATCTGAAATTAAATCTGTCTCTCAGAAGCTTTTTCGTACATAAATATATTACCATTTTCCATCAGAATATTGCAGGCTTAAGGAGCAAGTCAGATGCACTAACAATCTGCTTACAAGAAATTTTGGATAACAAAACTGATGTAGATGTTATCTGTCTTACTGAACATTTTATTATGTCAGGCCACGAGGATATCTGCATGATTCCTAATTACTCGTTGGCTGCCTTCTTTGGCAGAAGTAATTCTTGCAGAGGAGGATCGTGTATTTTTGTGAGAAAAGGTTACCGTTGGAAAGTTGTTCCGAAATTGGAGTCTCACACAGAGTGCTTAACTTTTGAATGTTCTGCGGTAGAAATGTTAGACCATAAAATTATTATTATATGTCTGTATAGAGTTCCTTCTGCTAGTAACCTAAATAATTTCCTAACAAGATTAGAAAAGTTGCTCCAATATGTTAACAAAACTTATAACAAGTATAATGTAGTATTAGCTGGAGATTTTAACATAAATGTTTTAAAAGAAAACAACATTACATCGGAATTTAAATGTTTACTTTTATCTTATAATTTAAAACTTGCAATAGCTGAGCCAACCAGAATAATTAGCAATACATGTATTGACAATTTTGCTCACAACTATCGCAACAAGTGTAAAGCGGAAGTAATTGACTTCGGTCTATCAGATCACACAGCTCAGATATTAAAGTGCCAAGTCCAAAAAGTGTGCCTGATTAATAGCTGGAAAATTAAGCGTAGAGATTATAGTGAGGAAAACCTCAAAAAGTTTGATGCTTGTATAGATAAACTGTCTTTCTCAGAGATGTATGCGGCTGTTGATCCAAATGTGGCTTATAATAACTTCATTGACTTATTTAAACTATTCTATGATCTTTGCTTCCCGTTCAGACGTATCACGATACACACGCACCGTAAAGCCAACTGGATAACACGAGGCTTAAAAGTCTGTAGTGTCAAAAAGCGCATTCTCTTGTGGCAATACAGAAAATTGCCTACACACGCGAATAAAACAAAATTAAAAGAATTCTCAAAAAGGTATAAAAGAGTAATAAAATTAACACAACGCGCTCAAAACAATAATTTAATTAACAATTCAGATAATAAGAGCAAATCGGCTTGGAACATTATAAATAAAACAAAACTAAACTTACCACAAAATACAATAAGTAGTATTAAAGTAAATAACAAAATGATAACTGAGCCTTATGACATATCCAATGCCTTCAATAATTATTTTATCGATAAAATAGTGCCTCAAAATGAATCACTCAAAATGCAATATAAATCATACATGACCACTAGACAAAATTCTATGTTTATGAAACCATGTCTACCAAATGACGTCTTACGAATTATTAGAAACTTAAAAACAACAAATAGTGTAGGTAACGATGGTATTTGTACTAAAGTTCTGAAATATATAGCCACGAATATTTCTCCGCATTTCAGCTACCTCATAAATTTATGTATTGAAGCAGGGATATACCCTGACAAATTAAAAACTTCTATTATTAAACCAATTTTCAAAAAAGATAATAGAGAATATCTAGAAAACTATAGACCCATTGCTTTAATTTCAGTTATATCAAAGATATTTGAGAAACACATATGTAAAGAACTCAACAATTATTTGGAATGTAAAAATATTTTAGCAAATGAACAAAAGGGATTTAGACACAATAAAACTATTAACATGGCAATATATGATTTTCTGAAAATAGTTATGGCTGATGTCGACAATAGAATACCTGTATGCTCAATCTTTATGGATATGACGCAGGCTTTTGACTACGTTGACCATGATATATTAGTCGGGAAACTTTATCATTACGGAATAAGAGGTAATATTTTGAACTTAATCGAATCGTATCTTAAAGGACGCAATCAATACACTGAATTGACTACAATTAATATTTTGACAAAAAAAGAAGAAACGTTTCGATCATGCAAACGAAAACTGAAATACGGTGTCCCCCAAGGTAGCGTTCTGGGTCCAACACTATTTATACTGTACATTAATGACTTGCCTAATGCCACTGACAATCCTATAGCTCTGTTTGCGGATGATAGTACAGTTACAATAAAATGCACAAATAAAATCAACTATGAACATGATATAAATAACACCTTGAGTTCTATCATGAACTGGCTTAATGTCAATAATCTAAAAGCAAACTTAACTAAAACGCAATTAATGCATTTCAAGCAACGCTTACCTTCACCGAACAATTTGAATGTAAATTATAACGCACAAGCCATTAATGAAACAAAAAGTACAAAATTTCTCGGTTTGCATATTGATGATAAAATTTCTTGGAAACAGCATACTGAACAACTATGCAAACGTATGAGTAAATCAGCTTATGTCCTACATGAACTCGCACATAAAATTAATTGCAATACACTAATAATCGCTTATCATGGGCTGGTAGCATCTGTTCTTAGGTATGGCATAATATTTTGGGGGAATTCCACCAACAAAATTCTTGTCTTTAGGGCACAGAAAAGGTGCGTCCGGGCTATGTTTGGTTTGAAGGCAACTGACAGCTGTGTACCTTTCTTCAAAAGACACAATCTTATGACCTTACCATCACTATACATTTATGAAACCGCGGTGTTTGTAAGGCAAAATCCTCAACACTTTATTTTATTATCTGAAGCTTATAATCGGCCACAAAGGGATGAAAGTCGTCTATGTATACCCATAACGAATACCGCATTAATGCATAAAAGTATCTTTCGTATGGCTCCAGCTATCTATAATAAATTACCAAAAGAGCTAAAACAAGCTAATGTTAATTCTTTTAAAAAATCTTTAAAACAATTACTGTGTCAAAAATGTTATTATAGTGTCTCAGATTTTTTAATGGATAAATTTTGATTTTGCTTATTTGTTGACTTATGTATAGCTATAACGTATTGACTACAATAATCTATTAATTACCTACTTATTGACATCAATTTATTATAATCTATTAAGCATTAAGTAGTCTTCCTCATCTGACTATTTGACGGACACTATTGACATGTAATTTATTAAAACACGACACATTTATATTTACTTATCTAACTAATTAATGGAGTTACTGATTTAAACTCTTATACGAGTATTTGTATGCCTAAAATAGGCTGATCATAGCGCACTTTAATCTAAAAATGACCAACCAAATGTACCTATGTATCACAAATAAATGTTTCATTTCATTTCATTTCATTTCATTTCATTCCATTTTTATAGAAATGATCGATCTTTTAAACATCATTTTCTTCGTCTCACGCCTTTTACTCTAAAGACAAACTTTGAGCCTCTACTCAAAGGGTGAATCTAAGATGGATACGTGTATAACCATAGATTTATTAATAAACTAAATAATGTTCTCCATTGTTTCAGAACGACGGTAGCTTACTACTTAAAAATATAGGCGTAGATGACGCAGGATTGTACGAATGCTCAGTGGAGAACGAGACAGCCTACGTCGATAGAGTCAACCTCACAGTGCGGAGTAAGTGACATGCTTCTTTTAATTTCTAACTCATCATCAGCAGCATCATCATTTACTGGCATGCAACAGCATTTCCTGTTTGTCAAGGGCCCGTAGGCTGCCTTGTTGAACGACGTCATTCAATCCTACAGATTGTTGAATATCTGATTATTTAAATCTTACCTCCAACTTGAAAGGGTCTCACATTCAGCAGCATCTGTTGTCCAAAATTTATTATTAAACGTTTAATCAGCTGAATCTTTAATTAATGTAAATCACAAGATGACTAATTTTTATCCGCCTGCCGCATGCCGACATGAAAAGCCATAACTTTTAACCTTCCTTAAGCCAATATTTTCGGGCCATTTTACAAATTCCGCCGTAATTTATTTTATCCCACTTAAGTAATGAGGATGAATAAAACATAGTTCAGAATGGATGGTCTTGAAATGTTGGGAATAGTAATTGTTCCTTTTTGGCCGCATTATCTACATTTTCAAGGTCATCCGTTGTTGGACTATTTTCTTGTGGTAATTTTGGATACGTACCTCATTAGTGGGTTCTGAATGAATGTAGTTTATCCGGGGAAACGTGATCGGCGTGTTTACTTACTCTTTTTATTTCTTGTTTATGGTGTGGGAAAACTTTGGTCTAACTTACAAACGAAGTGATACGATTTCTTATGTGCCAATGCCGTTTTGGTTTGATTAAAATAGGTGTCATAAAAATATCTGACTTTACAATATCGTTTTAAAGACCAAGGTGGAATTAAAAAGTTTCTATTCTGCCTCTAAAGTTTTAATAACGCAAGCAACACAAGCCGCGATGTTTGTAGCTATCCTGCATCGCTAACAAAGTTTCAGTTACCGTTTGGTATAATTGTCGCAGTATCATGTGCCCCGCGGTTTTCTGCAGAAACTAGAACAGTTTCGCTACTGTTGCCTGTTGTTTACACTTTGTTAAAAGGATTATGATGTACTCACATTGGCTTTGTAGTTTTGATATATTCCCTTTTGTTAGTGCCAGTTATTTCTAGTTACGGAGCTGTATCGTGGCTCAACAATAGTTTGAAAGTTGATGGGTAAAAAAGTAAAAATGTGTGTATTTTAATGCTTATTTGAAAACTTTCGTGAAACATACAAATTAATTACTGTTTTCGGCTTACTCATGTAACTGTTTGACGAAGAACTCGACTAGTTTCAAGCCGTGTTAGAAGCGCTTATTCAATAACAATGAGTTTAACGGCAGAGGGCGCATTGGGCCTGCACCGCTGCAGACTCGAGCAGCCAGTAGCAGCGCGACAGACGCCGCGTCGCGAGTCGCGGAATACTGTTCATGAATATGAGCCTCTAGCATGGTTTGAAACTAGTCGAGTTCCTCGTCAAACAGTTACGTGAGAAATGCGGAAACCTAATAATTATTTTGATGCTATCCGGATTTTTTTGCGTAAATTCAACTACTAAAGCACATTGAGAGCATATTCTTTGAAAAAAGAAAATAAATGTTCTTTTCACGGAAGATTTCATATTAGAGAACTAAAAATAAATGTGCATTAGTTCCGACACAAAATGTCATGTTGACAGATTTCAATTTAACAATCTGACCCATCTCAAAGCTCACACATGGTCATCTTTGGGATTGCGAGACAGACACACAAGCTGCGACATCTCTTCGGGACTAAACTTATATCGCAGGGACTATTTCTTTACAGATTTTTCAATCTGGTACTAAGTTTTACAAACTAAAAGACTAGATTAGGAATTCATTTTGTAAAATTACGAAGATGTTAAAAACTGACTATGTTAAAACATAAATGAATTTCATTCACGCTTGGTAGACATTCTGTTATGCCTGAATATTTTTAAGGCAGTTCAACCTCAATTAGAAAAAACACTAGAGATAAATAAACATGTGAACTGTTAGAAAAACATATCTATTCATATCATATTTCAATCATCAATCTAAAATCCCAATCATCTTATTCCTTTGTTACTTTCTTCAATGGCCTCTAGTTCAAACTCCTTACCCTCTACCATTGAACTCATCGGCGTCAAGTATCAATTCCACGTCGGGTCGAACTTGATGCTCAATAAGTAGCCACCTGTTACTGAATTATGCGATGTTTAAACCTTTAAGTATACTGCGAATATTAATGATGCCGCTACTGAAGTACCACTCAACGCTCTTTATGCAGAACTGGAAAATATGAGCAATAGGCACTGTTTATTTCAACTCGAGCTGATGTTGAACTACCGTTGCGGTTTTTATAGCAGCTTGTTATTTATTTCCTGATATTTAAAGCCGTTTCGATTCAGTTTTATTTACACTACTATTACCGTTGGCGAATTTATTCTTTTTAATTTTTTATATAACCTATTTGTTTTGGTCGGGACCCCTTCTCTCGTTCTTTTAGCTAATGTAATGAGAAATTAACGTTTCTTTCTTCGTCTTCTCCATATACCGTAAAAGTACACGTGGGATTTACGGTAACGTATATAACCATAGTAGTAATAATCCGTTAAATTATCCATAAAAATCCATTGTTTTCCTTTACGATTATGTTACCACAATGCACAGACATCCACGTGACTTAAAACATCGTAAACTAAGCACCAATGGCCACCAACATCTTTTCTTTCATTAGATTCTTCTTATTTTGACCTCATTTCTGTAATCATTATTTTATCAAAGTATCCTCGCTGACTCCAAACGTTCATTTTTCTTCATCTGCAAACCAAATCGTTTATCATCCAATACTGAATATTGTTTTTGTGTAAACGATTTATTTGGACGGACTTACGCTGCTGTTTAGTGCATATTCATCTGTATTTAGTGACGAATTTATATTTGATTTAGTTTATAAGTATTAAAAGGCGTTAGGTACAACCTTGTTACTAGAACTGAATTATTCCAACCCCTACCTAGTTTTACTTTTAGCTGAAAACAAATTACTTCGCTTACCACAATCTGAAGATTTCATTCATCCACTTTTACATCTATCACAGATAAGCTATTGAAATGTTGCCATTAACAATTCTGCCTCGAGGCAGAGTTGGGGTCGCGTTTATTTCAATACTAATCTAATTTTATTTTTCATTCACTGTAGTTTTATTTTTTAGCAAAATCTCTCGTTTTTTGTCGTCTTTTTCTAAACAGTTCTAGAAAGGATCTCTGAGGATAAAGGTCAGAAATACAAAAATGCATAATATATGAATATGTCTGTCTTTCTAGTCTTCAAGACTCCATTGCTAGCCTTCTAGGAATTGTAGAACGGTCTAATCTATTTAAATAATTCATAGCGATCGATCGTGTCATTGTAAGCAATCGAGTAGCACCCCTAGAGAACAGTTCAAAGTGTGCTTTGTGCCGGAGGAAATCCATTACACACAATGAGAGCGATACAAATCCAGGCGACACAAATAGCAATCTGATAAAATGAGGCTAGTAGGGAGACAATGGTTCCCCACGATAATAGGAATTGGTTTAATTTGACATTGACAGATACAAACATTAATGTCAATTGACGTTAAAGTCATATCATGAACTTAGAATCTCTGTAAGATTTAGGGCCGATTTTTCAATTAACTAAAAATCGGGGGTTACTCACGTAAATATACTGAGAAAAGCTCTACTAGTTTCGAACCACAGAGGGGTTCTTCCTCATGAGCAGCGTGCGCGGTCGCGGCGATTTCGCGCAGCTTACTGGCTAGCGTTGGCGCTCGCATGGCACGCGCTGGCAAATGTCAATTTGATTCGATGAAAAGTCGATTCTTATTCTTGTACCTAAAATTGGTTATAGTTATAGTGGAATTGCCTAAAATTGGTATTCTACTTCTCAATGTTACGTTATTTCATCTTGACCAGTAAAAATGTAGTCAAAAGCGTCAGCTGACGCGATAAATCCATTTAAAATAATGAATTTCCCGACATCGAAACTGTCATGGTCACTCCACATATTGACGTATCGTTTCATTCAGATAATATTAATTAATTATTTCCAGCCCACTGGTCGAAATAATACATTCTACGTCATTTATTACATAATTTAGCTTCATCCTACTTAAATATGCCATACATAAGTAAGTATATTCTAATTTGTGATCAGTTTAATGAGATTATATGGATCCTACATTTGTTTATACCTACTTCAAACGTAAATATTCTTGAGATAAAATTACCATATCGCTAATTGAGGTTACTGTAATTTTTGTTTTTATTATCGATTTAAGAATTTCAAAGCTTGCAATCAAAGCATACTACAATCATTACAAATCACATACAATCACAATAACTGACCCAGTTATCGCATCTTAACATGTTATTAAGTCATTTGAAGTTTTTCATTGGTACCTAAAACCAGTTCCTAATGTAGAAAGCGAGTCCTTTATCCTTTTGAACTAAGAAACCCCTGAAAATGCATGAACATAACATCCAACTTATGACTACATTTGTTATGAAACAATGTGATTACACGAACTTGTATCCAACTTGAATTGCACTAAGTTAGACTAAAGAAACTTTTGTTATGACTCTAGGAATGAGGCGGAATTTATAATTGTTACTGTCTTGGCTAGACTAAGTCTCAGAACTATGGAGCTAATAGTAATAAGTTAAAACGTAAATGACCATGAACTGCAAACACAGAAAACAATGATTACAATTACAATACTGCAGTCTAGTCATGATAGAGTTATTAGATAGTACCGGTTCTTTATGGTATACATTTTTAATCTTAATAGAACGAATCTCTCTTCTAAATATGATTATAATTTCATCTACTACCAGCTTCGATTTCACGCGATACTATTACAGAATTTTACTTGCGAATTTTGTGTCCTGAACGTAAAAAACGGCAGAAAAATATGTCTAAGTGCAGTCATTTGGAAGTAATAAGCGTACATACATTTCAGAGATTCAACACAGATGAAAGAACAAATATAACAAAACACCTGATGTCCTCATTCCAGAGTATTCTTTTATTGGAATCTTAAACTCTGAAATATAAAAAAAAATAATTCATA